GAAAAGTATCATCATTGGGGATGTCGAAGTCTATAATTAGAAATTATTGAAAATATTTTTATATAATAAAAATTTGCTACTCCGGGTCAAGGTTGATCGTTTTGAATTAGCTTTTACATAGAGTAGAACGCGGCACAAATTGTCCTAGTTGACTTTGAGCAATTATATTATATTCCAACAAATAACAAATATCAAGCAAACAACTATCTGACTATGTTCAGTAAAGCTCTCAGCTAATTCATCATTGTAGAAATTTGCTTTTATGCTGTTTTTCAAAAATTTATTACCTGTTTTTTTATACATGGGGTAAAATGGGAAGATCAGGGGGCAAACAGGCCCCAATGTCTTTTGTTTGTTTAGTTTGGTTGATTTTTTGTGAGACCAATGATTTGATGTAAAACCCTTTATTTGTAATATTAATTACGTATTTATTTGTAATATAACTACAAATTGTATTTGTATTTACAATATATTAACATGTTTAATTTATTGTATTGATTGATTTAAATTTATGATTTTTTATTATATTTCTTTTGTTTTTATATCATAATCATAGAATGTTTTGATTTGGCGTGAACAGTCTTATTTTTAAATTTAAAGGGATTTTACAAAATATTCAACCAATGCAAAATATAACTTTCAAGAGTACAATTTATACAGAGATAACACTATAAATAACCTTGATCTGGTATTTGGTCAGAAATATTTATTATCAGTGTTGAAATAGCTATTTATTTAATTTATCTTTTGTAAAATTGCTGTTTTTACCTTAATTCACGTTTTTACCTTATTTTATTCTTCAATTTCCTATGTTTTTTATTGTTTACACCTTTCCCAGAATAAGGGTTTTGTGAAATTTTTTGTCAAACATTAGTGGTAATTTAAACTAGATTTAAATAAACCTTATCACAAAAATATTGGAAAATACCACTCTTTTGTTAAAAATTCACCAAATATCAAGGTTGAAATAATTATTTAATTTATCCATCTCTTGTAAAATTGCTGTTGTTTTATATTTATTTACTATTTTTTATTGTTTAAAAGGGGTAAGGGGTTTTTTTGTCAATTTTTTAATTAGATATAAAGACTATAAAAATTTTGCACGCAAAAATTCTGATCACCTTACAAAAATATTGGAAATTGCCACAATTTGTTGAAAGTTCGCCAAGTATGAGAGGTACCGAAAAAAATCACCATCGAGGTTGAAATAATTATTTCAATAATCCAAATACCGAAAAAATGTATTTGTCGTGAAAGTTTATTGTCGAAATTTATTTCTAAGTCTAATTATTTATAAGTTTTTATCCTTTTATGATGAAGCTTCCCTCGTTTTCATGTGTATACCTACACCTCCAAAAATATTTATACAAAACTCATTACTTAAAAATAAGTCATGATCCCTAAATTTATTACAACTATGATTCCCGTAGACTCTAATACCGTCAACAATAAGACTTATCTACCATTTTTTCATCGAGTAAGATATTAATAAACGTCGAAACTATTTATTTTACCTATTACGATGCTTATAAAATTTGTGACGGTGTCATAATAATTTATAGAGGATATTAGTTCACAAACTGATTTTTTCACAGTCTTTTATAAAAGGTGAATCCATTGTGCGCATGTTTACAGCTAACAAATTACTTAGAATGTTTCCATTCGATCCAAGAGAACGTGTTAAGAATACTGTATTCTTTGAGGGATTTGGGAATTTGAGAAAGATTTGGGGAAAGGATCAGTGTGTGAAAGTTGAAATAGGCATTTTAATATAATTAGAATTATATGAAAAATTTAGAAATTCATTTGGATAAAAAAATTGGTTTACATGTAATGCAAATTGTAATTGTAATTCATATCTAATCATTTTAATATTAAGCTATAGAACGAAATAGTATTGTATTTCGTTCTTAATGTAGAGCACCAAAATTACTATAAAAATTATTCTGTTTGTTATTATGCTAAAAATACTAAATGCATTAATGTAATAGAGAAAGTGCAGAATGTTAGTTACAACAACCAAAAATATAATTTTTTAACAAATTCAAGAATTACACTGGCTAATGGTCACTACAAATATGGAAAAATTCACAACAAGCTTCAATTTCAATATTTCGAGCATTTTTCTCATCATCTAAATTTCTTTATAATTCATCACAACGTTCAAAAAAACTGTGCAAAAACATTTTTGTCCTCAAGATAAAAATCTGACTTACCTAACATAAGATTAAGATACGTGTACTAAGAAATAGATCTTACACTTTACATTCACACAAAGTAAAGAATCCTTATTTCTATTGATTTGAGTTTGGAGAAAACTCAGTAATAGATGGAGAGCTAGTAGAAACAGTTTTTGAGCATATTATATTATAAAAAATAGCAGTTTCTTAGAGGACAGCGCACCCGATTAGAGTGATTTAAATAGCAGATTGCTTGTGTGGTCTATATAATGCATTTGTAAAATGCGTTGATGAGATTCACAGTATTTTCAATAGTTATTTTAAAATATTTAAAATAATTGTTATTACTCACTCACTACTTATATTAAATCATCATACTACGGATATTATTTTCATATAAATTCTATTCTTTGCTCTCTTATTTATTTAAATTTATTTATTTACTAGCTGTTAACTAGTAATATAAAATAAATACTACTAGTAATAAACTAATAATAAAAAAAAATACTCACTAACAAATTTTTATTGATGTTTTTTTGGGAGTACGGCAAGTACGGGATGTACGGGAAGTTCCAGCAATTTACCATGAATCACTAGTTTTAAATATTTCAATTACCTTGGGAAATTGTCTACCGCCTCTCCTTCTATAAGACGCAACAAGCATTCATATTGTTGAGAAAACTCAAACCACTCCCGTGGGCATTGTATGAATATAATATAATACGTATCAGAGGAGAAGAAGAGAGGTCCTTCTGTGTTCCGCGCGACAATGAAAAGGTCCTTTTGAGAGGGTCCTTATTCACGCATTCAGTTTACATACTTGTTCAATATTTATACAATATTTACGCTTTCGGTTGCACGCCGGTTTAGGTTTTTAGATCCGCTTCGAAGGGCAATTCCACATACGACTTCCGTGCATTATTTCAATTTCGACGATAACATCTGCGAGTCATGTTTGGAAAACGTATTATGTGGTAGTTAAGAATGAATTTTGCGAATTCAAGTTTAAGAGATGTAGGAATAGTCCTTCACGAAATGTAAAGGAGGCTCGAGAACTGATCGATTAGTTATTTTTATTTTGACGGTGAATGCATTAAATATAGGGTGTCCCAGAACTCAACGTTAAGACAACACGGGCTCATAGTATTGATCACAATTATCATGAAACACATTATGAAAAAATATCTCACAAAGTATTTTAGGGACAACCTAGAACTTCGGTAAAATGGTAACCATTTTTCGGTTCTACTTTGGTCAAAACATTACATATTGTCATCATAATAACTAATTTTTTTTTTGAATTTTAAAAACTGGTTGCAATCTCAAGAAGTTAAAAAAAAAGTTTATGTGGTTAATTCTCATGTTTTCTTTAGATTTGAATCCGCAATGGAAAACCACATTTCTAACACGACAGCCGAGAATGGTGATACAATTATTCCAAGTTTTCAAGAATTAAAACTATCGTAGAACTATGAATTAAAATTTTCAAAATTGGTCAACTTTGAGAATCCTCTCTTTTAAAAAAAATTACAAATTTGTATTGACAATTTTCATCCAAAGTTGGCGCAAAACAAAATTTTAGAATGGAAAAACACAAGATAGTATTATAACAAAGAAAAAAATCGAGTAAAAATGAAAAAAAAAATCAAATTTGCAAATACCGACATACTCTTTCTTGCATTGTAATAAATGTTTTTTAGTTAGTTCTTTCCATCTTCTATACGGTTTATCTTGACTTCACTGACTTTTCTCACACCCTGTTATATCAGTTTCTTAATTAAATTGCAAAAACAATTAATAATTTGCGTAAAGTATATACTTTTTTGGATAACGAATTAAAATTTATATAACAGCTCTTGGACATTTTATTTAGTTACGATGCGAAGTTATTCATTTAGAAAAAAATCCATTATAAACAAAAAATACTGTATCATCCAAATCAATTCTACATACATTCTTACTGACTTCTCACACATTCTTAGACATAAAAGAATAAAAATCATACCAAAGACCCAATAATTTTAATTCAGTAATATGTTAATTTATTAGTAATTAATTACTTTTTAAGTTCTACTTGGTATAGTGTGAGGCAGGGCAAAAAGCTCCAATTTGATCGATTATATTGTGAAAACCAAACCGTTTTGGTTTTATAAAATGCATAATTCGATGTTGATGAAACTTGACATACATTGTTACTACTCTTTACCAAATATTTGACAAAAATTTAAAGTTGGAACATTCAATAGTTTTTGGGATATGCGAGGTTGATGGGTGGCTGACTCCGCTCTCAATACTAGTATTGAAACAGTGTGTACGTTTTCAAAAATACATAATTCGATTTTGATGAAACTTGACATACATTATACCTACACTTTACTAAATATTTGATAAAAATTTAAAGTTGGAACATTCACTAGTTTTTGGGATATGCGAGGTTGATGGGTGGCTGGCTCCGCTCTCAATACTAGTATTGAAACAGTGTGTACGTTTTCAAAAATGCATAATTTGATTTTGATGAAACTTGATGTACATTGTTACTACACTTTACTCAATATCTGACAAAAATTCAAAGTTGGGACATTCAAGAGTTTTTGGGATATGCGTGATTGATGGGTGGCTGGCTCCGCTCTCAATACTAGTATTGAAACAGATTGAAAATAAAAAAGCTTGATAATAAAAAAGCTCAAAAAATACTTTCTTTGTGATTATTAAAGTAAATAAATGCGTCATCAATTCTTGTAGTCATTTTTTAAACTTCTTTTTTGTAATTTGTCATTTTGTAATTTTTTTTCCTTTACTAAACAACAATTTCCTTACCAGGTGAAAAACCGTTCAAATGCGAGCACTCCGGCTGTGACCGTCGCTTTGCCAACTCATCCGACCGCAAAAAGCACTCGCACGTCCACACGTCGGACAAGCCGTACAATTGTCGTGTCGGAGGCTGCGACAAGAGCTATACACATCCTAGTTCCTTAAGGAAACACATGAAAGTACATGGCATGAGCAATTGTTGCCCCGATGGAACCACAAACGGCACAGGCGCCGGCTCTGGAAACAACCGAACTGGTAAGTTTATGATTATAAATATATGCCTTATGTTGTTTCAAGGGCCAATTCTGCGATAGAATAGAAATTTTATGGTAATGCTAAGTTATGGTATGATCGGCAGTAATTATTAACTTCCCGAAGGAGAAATTTATGTTTTCATCAAAAAATCCGATTCGCTAATTTTATGTTTTCTCGACGTTTCAAGCCATTCTGAATCGAATAAGATCAAATTTGGAAAAAAGTATGTGTGTGTGTGTGCGTGTGCACCAACAGATTTTTTGCCGTAAATCGCCGTTTTCTCAAAAACGGCTGGACCGATTTCAAAAATTTAAAAGCCATTTGTTGCATCTCGATGAGGACTATTGTTTGTCAGTTTTGTGCGACGATCGGCCAAGCCGTTTCTTTGTAAATAGCAGAGAAGTGAAAAATTTTTTGTCCACGTTTTCCAATTCTGAATCGATTTTGAAAATTCAAAAATCGTTCGAAAGATATTGGTTGGGAATCGACCTGATTAGTTTTTGGTAGAGATAGGCCGGGCCGTTTTCTTGTAATAAAGTTAAAAAAAAAAAATGGACGATTTTTATGATTATTTTTTTGACTGTAGATACCATAGTCTTCTAGATCATACTAAAATATTACGGCCCTACGACAACTGGTTCAGCTTTAAAAATTCGTCCAAGTTTGCCAAAATTGGTATCGTTTTTTTGGCATTTGTCAAAATTAGACCTTTGATCGACGTTTTCTCAAAAACGCCTGAACCGATTTTAGAAATTTAAAAGCCATTTGATGTATTTCGGTGAGGACTATCGTTTGTCAGTTTTGTATGACGATCTGCCAAGCCGTTTCTTTGCAATTTGAAAAAAAGTGTTAAACTTTTCGTCCACATTTAAGCTCATCCTACCGAACCGATTTTAAAAAATCAAAAACTGTTCAAAAGATATTAGTTGGGAATAGTTTTAGATGAAAATCTACCGAGTCGTTTTCTTGTAATTATCTATTGAAAAAAAATTTAAGCCGATTTTTATGGATTTTTTTTAGCGATATATACCATGGTCTTATGAAACTTACTGAAATATTACGGCCTTACGATAAATAGTTTGATTTTAAAAATTCATCAAAATTTGAGAAAATGAGTAGTTCTTTTGACATTTGTTAAAATTAAAATTAGACTATTTACTTGGTATAATGATAAAGTACTTGGTCTTGAACATAATAAACCATTAAAGTCCTGGAAACTGGTTCAATTATAAAAATTATTGATTTTTGAAAATTTGCTTTAAGAGAATACCTACTCCGAGTTAACGTATTCGTTCGTTCATTTTCAATTATGTGTATTAAATCCACTCGAAGTACTTTTAATCACTCATAAATAAATATATTTCTAATTGATTAAGTCGATTATTCACACATATCGGGAAGTTCATGTAACTTGCCTCAAGGCTAAATACCAAACCAACTAGTTTATGTTTCCATTACACTTCTGAATTTTTTTTTTGATAGGGATCGTTCAAGTATTACGTAAGCAGATTTATTACAATTATTTACCCCCCCCCCCCCCTTTGTCATCAAAAGTAAGTAAATTTCTTACCAAAAATAAGCAAAACAAGCAAATCAATAACCCCCCCCCCCGCCTCCCTGTAGTGCTTACGTAATACTTGAACGGCCCCATAGCATTTTTTTATTATTTCCACAACTAAATTTTAATGTTATTCTTTTAGGTTACGATAGCGAAGGTGAAGATTCCACGTCCTCCGTGGGATCCTTATCAGGACACCAGACCAGCAGCCACATTGCCGGTCATCAGCCTCAAGCTCAGCCAACCACCAACCACATCCATTTGAACAATCAGAAGAACATAAGTCCTCCTCTGGCAAGACAATGTTCCCCACTAGTCACAGTGAACAACCAAAAGAGCGAATGGTACACACATGAGCCATCTCTTGGCAATCACCACGCATTTGACCACCATTTCAACCATCATTTGAGCCCGCTGAATCATCATTTGAATCTTAATCATCATCATTTGATGATGAACCATCACCACACAGGTGCCGCAACGGCATATTGACATTAGTGAATAGAGGTGATTTTAGTGTAAATATTGTAAAAAGTAGGATAACAATTTCTCTGTATCACTTGAAGCTATTGATTTTAATTAGAACAGTTTTAAGCATTTTATAAACATCGAAGAAGACATTCAGAGACGGAATTAGTAACTGGAAATTAATATAGGTATATTTTTAAATATGATTTTATTAAGCAATATATAATACTTTTTTCTGCTTGCAAATTCTCTAATTGCCGATTCACATTTTTCATTATTCTTCTCTCCAAATATATATATTTTTAAATATATTGTATATAGGTATATATAAATTAATTATAAGTAAAAATAAAATTTATAATGAACTGAATAGACAAAAATCAGATAAATTATCTGAGATAACAATTATGTTATTTTGTAATGTGATATATCGTTCGACTTATAATTATAATTTAAATAAGACTGTCATATATGATAATTTTGCTTGATTGTAAAAAATTCTGTAAGCGATCTCAAATATTAATTGATGTTAAAATTTAAAAAATGTTGTGAAATGGTCTTTACAATTGTACCTACGCTTATTTATGCGTTTGCAAGATATCCTGGATTTTATGAAGGAATTATGGTATGAGATTTTTTCCTCATCTCAAAAATATCTAATTATATTCCTATCAATATTGAAACAGTAATTAAATCAAATGCTTACATTAAAAATATTTGAATCTCACACGGTATGCTCTAATTATATTCACCAATAGAAAATATATACTGACTATTGGAAAAATATAATATAATGCATATAGCGTTACTATTATGAAATATTTGAATGTATTATTTTAGGCTAAAATGATTATATTTTGTTACGAGATGCTAAAATAATGTATTTAATTTATTTTCTAAGACAATTTATGATCTTACAATAGTATGTTGAGTTAAAAAAATGAGTTAACTATCAATGATTATGTTTAACAGTATATAATGCTATAGAGCAAATCGATACACTTTAATTTTGTATTTTAATATGTACATACATTGCAGCTTCTTATGTTTACGTACGATTTTAAACAATTTTTTTTCATTTGTAACTTTTAAATAATATAAGCAATTATATGAATTATAATTTTTAAGTTGATCATATAAATAATTCTCAATAACTCAAAATACTCAATAACATTGTTAATGAAAACAATACATTTTACCGTTTATTATTTAACTCTGGGCAAATTTCTTTTTAATTATTTTTTCAAGTGTATATGATTTATCATCTTATTTATTATATATCATATCTTAGAACCAGAATGATGTTGATGGCCTCAATAACTGAAATCTACGAAAAATACTGAAAGTGATAAAATGTCACGAATAAAATAGCATAGAACTCTAATGTATTTATAATTATTCAACTATTTCTATCCTAACTAACCAGGTTAACCTCATTTTAGTTGGTAATGACTAAATACTTTTAAAATTAATTACATAAAATTGAACTAAAATTACGAAATTTTTAATCACTATTTTTTCAATTTATAATAAATTTTAATTTATATTCACTGAATTTTCAAAATATAAATTCGAATATATTCTAAATCTAAAAAAATTGAATCAGAACAAAAGGGCCATTTGCCAGGAGAGAACCCGCGAGCACACGTTTACAATTAATGACCGAAAATAATCAATAACTTTCTTTTTCTCTTCTATAGGTTCAGTGTAATCTTCCAGATGCATATCCTGTTGCCCTGAAGATCATGATCAAATTTTTGACACGAGGGTAAACCTTTATTAATTTTATCATTGTTGCATGTAGTCTATCTTGTATGACTTTGCACTAATCCTGTTTTTTTTACGGGTTCATCTCTCAAATGGGTTCGAACAGCGTTTTATTTTTTGGCAACTCTATCTTCTAAGCATTATCTATTTGGTAGTTCAAATAACTCACTAATTCTACTAACCTCATTAACTTTGCTGTTTTAACTTATTTAATAACATCAAAGATCACTTGTTCATTGAAGGGCGAATACTTACTTGGAACAAGGCTAGATCAAGTGAGTACAGATGTTCATATATATATATATATATATATATATATATATATATATATATATATATATATATATATATATATATAGTGTATTCAAATAATCCCGATCATCACTAACTCAATGTTTCGAAGTCCTACAGTACTCTGCCTGTAAGCTGCCTAAACACTCCAGAACAAAAATAGCAAGTTCAACCTGCCACACATAGATTGGTATAATATGTTATATTATTGCTTTTACAAAATCATGAAAAAAAAAAATATTGAAAAAAAAATTTTGAGGAAAATATTTGGAAAAAAGTTCATGGACTATTATGAAGTCCATGTCTTAGTAGTTTTCAAAAATTACTGCTTCCCAAAACTTTGTTCGAAAACATATTTTTCCCCATTTCTTTTTCAATTTTGTTTCCCAAATGATTTTCTTCTCAAATTATTATTCCAAACTTTTTTTTCAAAAATTTCTTTTTCCCAAAACTTCGTTCGAAACATATTTTCCCATTTTTTTTTTCTTTTTTTTCCAAACGATCGAAGCTTGCTCCGAGGCGGGCTTCGAAGTTTTTTGAATGTACAGTCTTTGGATATGCAATAATATAATAATATAATATAATATAATAATATAAGATAATTTTTATATAAAAAATTGCAGAATTGAATATACACGGTAAAAAGCAAAATGTATAGTCTTTAGATACGCGATAAATTTTTTGGAAAAATCAAAATCAATTACTATTTTATTTTTATATTAGAACAATTTTTATTATGTTTTACTAATATAAAGTTGTTTTTCCCACCTATATTCTAGACAGATTTTCATTTTCAATGAACTTTTCAGGACGTAGTGCTTGTACCAGAATAAGGTATGTTAGATTTGAGTATGCATATTTTGATTTCAAATACTTTAATTTATAAGTCACGAATAAAAAATATTATTAATTAAATATTTAACTTAGAAATGAGATTTGTGGTATGACTAAATAAATTTGATGTTTGATTTTAAAGATAACTCTTGGATCATTTTTGTATATCAATTTAAATTTTATAACTTGTGCACGGTAAGACTGACTTGAGTAAAAATAAAATTGTTAAAATATGAATGTAAATAAAATAGAAAAAAATTGTCAGTATATTCAAAAATGTATTTTCATTCCTTAGATATCACTTCAAAACCAAAAAATTGTTTTAGTTATATAAGTTTTTAACAACTTTTGAAATATTTGCAGTGTAAATTAATAGAATACTTACTTTAAAAAAAAATCGAGCATCAATATAGATATGAAGAGATGTTATTTAATTTAAATTATAGCGGTTTTATTGTTGTTAAAATTAAAGATTCAAACAAATATTCGTTGGATTTTCGAACAAAGAGGCGCTCGGGTACATGCAGCGCCATCTTTGCACGCTCCGTAGTCGCACATCTACAAGTTCTTTTTGCATATCTATGGTTTATGCCAGTCTGTGGAATGTCATTGCATAGAATCATTTTCTCATCGGAGTTGGTCGAAAAAACATCGTGGAATACAGAGGCCCCCTTGCCATTTGCTGCCTGGAATATAATTTGGTATGTTGTACTAGTGCTAAATACATTTCGCTTTGCGGATTCACTCAGATTTTATTTCGTTCGACAGTGTTGCGTCATACTCTGTTCAAGTCTTATTAGTGTCATAGACACCGGATATATTTTATTTCATAATGTCTACTGTTGAATAAAACTATTTAGTTGACCTTGTGCATTATATTCGAAAAGTGATTTGGACTCGGTTCTAAGACTTCCGGGAATAATATAATTTATTTTTAATTCACTATTGTTTATACAAATATAAAATACTTTTTTCAAAGTTTTTGCTGTAATTGGAAGACACAAAGTGAAAGTAAATCTGAACTACTATTTCATGTTTATTTTTATCATCGAGACTTAATCATTTAGTGAGTATCTGTACATATTGATAAATTTTAAGTGTTTTTAAATCATTACTGTGTGCTAACTCACTTCAATTTACAGATCAGAAAAATTATGTACATTGGACCACAATCAAGTCAAGTATTAGGTCAAGTATTTTAAAGCAAAACTATTTTATTATGGAACTGCTTTGTGCTCAATGTACTATTTTATCGGGTTAAAGTAGTCATTTCAATTTGTTGAAAATAATATGGAGGAACTGCATTGCACACGAAGACAGCTTTGGTGACATATCATCATTTGATGATGTTTAATGAAGTTCATCATAATTCAATACTAATTTCTGTATTTTACAGGTGCAGGTACGTTTGAATTTGTTGCATTTTGTGCAGAGTCATTAAATTTTTATGTCACTGTAATGCACTAATTGTGGTTTTATTGGGAATTGCATTTGATATGAATGTATTTATCGAACACTGAATTTACTCAGATATTCATTAATTGATACTTTCAGTTTTTGCTTTATCTTTTACAAGTTTACGAAATCATTAAAGCATTGGCTTTCATGAATCAAATGACCATTTGCATGATATGCATTCTTAGTTCTCGTATCTAATATACTAACAAATACTAACAAACACTAATCCATTCTACTACTACTAAAATATAATGTGGTCGTTTGAATCTTATAAGTCTATGCAATGTGGATTTGAAGTATTACATTACATTTCAATTTTTACTATTGTGAATTCATGTTAATGCATTTCATATAAAACCAAGTGCAATTATTAAACTGCTGGTAAATTCCCAGAACTATATTTCTGAGCATCAAGATAAAATCACATGTAAACCGCAACGTAACATATCAAACAAATTGTTAAGTATCGAATAGCCAAGTAATATCGAGTGAAAATTCAGTTTACATTTATTTTATTTTATCAATTTTATTTTATATTATATTTATATTATATTTATATACTTAATTTATTCTTTACTAGATCTACTGATTTGTAACTTCATAATTTGTTTTTTTATGCATATTTGATCGGACACTGTGATTATTACACAACAGTCAACTGGAATAATACGATCAAAATATTTGGAAAGCATTCAAAGTATGAATAACTTAGAGATTTATCAAACAATGACATTTTTAAGACCACAAGAACTTCTTAGACTTATGAATAAATGCTCGTTGAAGGGGACTAAGAAGAAAGTTCAATTAAGTATCTAAAAATCAATATTTAGCTTATCTATTTTCATATGCTGTTAATTTTTTATTTTATTTCATTTTTTCATAAATTTTTTTTCATTCAAGATTGAAAATTCAAACTCTACACAGAGCCCATCACAATGGATTGTTTGGTAACGCATAAACACTTTTATGAAATCTCTATACAACATCAATGTTTACATTTCTAATATTTTTTTTATTCCAGATCCTGGTTCAACTGCCAATTCAAAAATGCAAGAATATTCATTCCGACTACTTTACTAGAAATCTCTCTAGAAACATTTAATTAGGTGTATGTTTATCCATAACCAGTATAAATGCAAATATTGCTAAAACATTTCTTTTTTTTCTCAGGTCCTCTCAACTTCTGCTGCTCTGCACACTAACTCCTTCACCAGGAACATTTAATCAGGCATGTGTTTATCCATAACCAGTATAAATACAAACATTGCTAAAATATTTCTTTTTTTTCTCAGGTCCTTTCAACTTCTGCTGCTCTGCAAACTAACTCCTTCACCAGGAACATTTAATCAGGTATGTGTTTATCCATAACCAGTATAAATGCAAACATTGCTAAAACATTTCTTTTTTTTCTCAGGTCCTCTCAACTTCTGCTGCTCTGCACACAGACTCCTTCACCAGGAACATTTAATCAGGCATGTGTTTATCCATAACCAGTATAAATGCAAACATTGCTGAAATATTTTTTTTTCTCAGGTCCTTTCAACTTCTGCTGTTCTGCAAACTAACTCCTTCACCAGGAACATTTAATCAGGTATGTGTTTATCCATAACCAGTATAAATGCAAACATGGCTAAAACATTTCTTTTTTTTTCTCAGGTCCTTTCAACTTCTGCTGTTCTGCAAACTAACTCCTTCACCAGGAACATTTAATCAAGTATGTGACTATTCATAACCAGTATGAATACAAACTTCATTAAAATGTTTCTTTTTTGCAGATTTTCTCAATTCAACTATCACTGCCCTGATGCTCAAAACATCATGAGTTTGGAATGCTCATCCATGTAAATGATTCGCAAGTTGTTTTTTTTAATGACTGCCTATAATTATGCATGATTAACTTAACTCTTACTAAATCACTAACACGACTAACCTCACTAACTTAATCAGTTATTATAAAAACCACTTGTTGAGTTTTACAATGAATGTCTTGCTGAGATTGCTTGAAAGACATCGCTGCATGATTAATCAGGTAATTTATTTTTTATAGTATATTTTATGAGACTTGTTACTAATTCATTGTTTTTGTTCATAGGGTAAGCGACAACTTCAAGCCAAGTAGTCTTCAACTCTCAACTTACTCTTGTCTTGATCAAGACTTATTCTCCAGCAAAAACAATCGCTCGATCTACTAATTATGTCGTCCCAAGTAACTACCACCGGCTTGTCGTCAGGGAAGGTGCCTACTGTGATATATAGATTAGTTAAGTGCATAAATGTTAATGAAATAATGAATAAATATATTGTATTTAATTTAATTTGTTGTTTTAATTTAATTATGAGCCACTTTACGGTCTTTACGGCCAAATTACATTATGCTGTAACGTAAATTACGAAGATATTTAAACATTTCTAACTTAATAACAAAAATTTCTTGTGTTATTAATAGGGATACTTATTAAGTGCACTTTTAGTGTAGACAATTGTGCAAAACAGTTTCTTTACTGTTTGGGTGTTTGCAACCAGTTTGCCGCATCTTGGTTAAGCTCTTTATACCTTTGCTTTGACTCGGTAGAAACGCGTTGACAATGGAGTTTGCTTTTTTCCAAACACTTAATACGTCGGACCCATGTTTTCTCTTGTTTAAATATTACACTTTCTATATTTCTTTAAATGGTGCACTCTTTTTCTTAGCTATAAGTATCACTTATTTAATATCATCCTGTGTTATTAATACATTTATAGATATATATATATATATATATATAATATATATATATAATATATATATATATATTATTGTGTAATAGCAATCGATAATGCTGCATTGTGTAAGAGCAATGCTGATATGCCAATTAACGTAAATTCGATATCGATATCGTGCTAATAAAGTATTGTTAAAAATAGTCAATCAGTGTTGTTCTTTAGAAGTGACAAGATATTTCAGCCAATATTTTAATAAAGAACTCAAGGCAATAATGCTGCATTGTGTAAGAGCAATGCTGATTGCCAATTAACGTAAATTCGATATCGATATCGTCTAATAAAGTATTGTTAAAATAGTCAATCAGTGTTGTTCTTTAGAAGTGACAAGATATTTCAGCCAATATTTTAATAAAGAACTCAAGGCAATCTGAAGCCTACTATTACTATAACCACCGCTCGGCAAGGCTGTATTGACTAGGAGGTCAATAAAATAAACAAATTTATGTTATGTTTATTTTATGTTTGTTTTCTCATTATACTTTCATATACATTGTTTTTTAATTATTTTTGGTTGTTATTATGTTTTTTCATTGTTGTTTAATTGGAACCCTGATTATTTAATTATAGCACTGAAATGGGTCAAATCATTACCCGAAACGTATGTTCCCTAATAAAAACATTTTTCAATAAAACTGTTTTTTAATTATTGGTGGATGCCCAAGAACAATTTATCATATAATATATATATATTATATATATAATATCTCATATATATATATATTATACAATTAGATAAATGTTAATGTATTTTAGTCGTTTTCATTACTGCAATTGTAAGAATAAATTAATATAATTGTATTATTAAATACATAAATTAAAATACTGTGATACATTAAGAGTTTTGAATAAAACTAACTAAACTTTATTTGGAGTGTTTCATTCCACACCATTTTCAGTATTATATATATTAGAAACACACCGTACAGGTGCAGGTACTATAAACTGATAAGCTAATGTTATCATAAACATTAATATATTCATTAATTAGTTCTTCGAAGAGGATTTAATATTTTGAATAAATTTCATATAATATAATTTTTGTAATCTAATTCTATGGTGATTAATATTGTTAATGTAGTTGTAAATTTGGCCATTTTAAATAGACTAATCTATGGTTTTTCACTCATTTTTCAATCACTTTAATTTATTATACTATTATTTAATGTCTTAATTAGTTCATTTTAATTATTATACTTTGAATATTGGTCAGTTTTACTTAACTATAACTTATAAAAAAAATTACTTAACTATAACTTGTAAAAAAAAAATTCAAGTTCTCAGTCTTGTGTTATTTTCTTCTTTCGCACAAGAATATCTTCATTATTGTTAATATATCTTAATTTTTATTCGCTTAATTATTACATTAATTACATTCATATTCTTACCATATTTACCCTACCATCTCCTATTTTACTTTACACTACCTTACCATAAACTTACACTACCTTAACTAATACTGCCCTACATTAAGAACTAATATACTCTTACTTGGTTATCTTACCACGTCTCGAACCTGCTACCCTGTCCTCTCCAGCGACTCCCACCTCCCAACGCGCGACGCCACGACGATCACATTAATAAACCGTTACAAAGTAGGTGATATTATATATTTTAAACGAAAAAAACTAACAGGTCATATGGCAAAAAAAAATTGAATTGGTATGGCCTGTGCTGGCGTAATTGGTAGAGTGATGGCTTCGTATCGTAAAGGTACCGAGTTCGAATCATACATCAGGACAAAAAACGGAAAGAAGTAGTGCTGTTCGCGTTGAGGAATTTATTTATTGTAAGATAGCACAAAAATAAAATTTAGATTTAATAAACTAAGAGGTCATGAGGCCGAAAAAAAGCAGGTTCGGTGTGGCCTGTGTTGGCGTAATTGATAGAGTGATGGATTCGTACCCAAAGAGTGCCGAGTTCGAATCATACCTCGGTACAAAAAATGGAAAGCGTGGAATTTATTTATTGTAAGATAGCACAAAGTTAAAATTTGGATTTAATAAACTAACAGGTCATGAGGCCGAAAAAAAGCAGAATCGATGTGGCCTGTGTTGGCGTATTGCTAGCGTGCTAGCTTCATGTCAACAGGGTACCGAGTTCGATTCATACCTCCGGACACAAAACGCAAAATAGCGTGCCTGTTGACGCTGTGGAACGAGGTATGCACGGAATCACATCCGTTCGAATTTGAGACCCCAGGCGGGTATGCTCCCCTCGATCTCGATTGAGAGGAGAGATACGCGCGAGAATCCCGCAAAATCCCCTAATGAACCCCGCAGCAGCCCCGAAAAGGGGCGAGGGGGGATTATAGGGGGGTGTGGGGTTCACGAACCCGCGACCCTGTGGTCCAACCCTCCCGAAAAAGGGAGAGGGGGGACTATAGGGGGGTGAGGGTTCCGCGCGACGACCACCACTGGGTCGCGCCGGTTGAAAAGCCGGGTGCGAGTCCCCGGAGCACCCTCGAGTGCAATGATGGGGATGTGGGGTGAGGAAAATGCAGTGACGAGGGAAAAAGGGGTGGAAAGATATGAGGAGGGAGAGATAGGGATGGCGGGGGAGAGATAGGGAGAGAGATAGGGGTGGTGGGAGAGATAGGGGAAGAGATGAGGAGAGGGAGAGAGATAGGGGAGAGATAAGGGGGGAAGAGTCGGAGGGGGAGAGAGATAGGGGGGGAGAGATAGGGGGTGGAGATAGGGAAAGGATGAGAGAGGGGGGGATGAGAGAGGGGGAGGGATGAGAGAGGGGGAGAGAGACGAGGGAGGGATGATGAGGGAAGGAAGCGACAGGGGGAAGGAAAACGCATTTTACGCAAACATAACAACGTGTACGACGGGATACGACGTCCGCGCCTGTCGCCTCGTCCATCCCTCCCCCGTCTCTCTCCCCCTCTCTCATCTCTCCCCCTATCTCTTCCCTCCCCTTATCTCCCCCCCCCCACCGCCCCTATCTCTCCCCCGCCATCCCTATCTCTCCCTCCTCATATCTTTCCACCCCTTTTTCCCTCGTCACTGCATTTTCCTCACCCCACATCCCCATCATCGCACTCGAGGGTGCTCCGGGGACTCGAACACCGACCCACCCTGTGATGCACCCGGCTTTTCAACCGGCGCGACCCAGTGGTGGTCGTCGCGCGGAACCCTCACCCCCCTATAGTCCCCCCTCTCCCTTTTTCGGGAGGGTTGGACCACAGGGTCGCGGGTTCGTGAACCCCACACCCCCCTATAATCCCCCCTCGCCCCTTTTAGGGGCTGCTGCGGGGTTCATTAGGGGATGTTGCGGGATTCTCGCGCGTATCTCTCCTCTCAATCGAGATCGAGGGGAGCATACCCGCCTGGGGTCTCAAATTCGAACGGATGTGATTCCGTGCATACCTCGTTCCACAGCGTCAACAGGCACGCTATTTTGCGTTTTGTGTCCGGAGGTATGAATCGAACTCGGTACCCTTTTGACATGAAGCTAGCACGCTAGCAATACGCCAACACAGGCCACACCGAATCTGCTTTTTTTCGGCCTCATGACCTCTTAGTTTAATAAATCTAAATTTTATTTTTGTGCTATCTTACAATAAATAAATTCCACGTTTTCCATTTTTTGTACCGAGGTATGATTCGAACTCGGCACTCTTTGGGTACGAATCCATCACTCTATCAATTACGCCAACACAGGCCACACCGAATCTGCTTTTTTTCGGCCTCATGACCTCTTAGTTTATTAAATCTAAATTTTATTTTTGTGCTATCTTACAATAAATAAATTCCTCAACGCGAACAGCACTACTTCTTTCCGTTTTTTGTCCTGATGTATGATTCGAACTCGGTACCTTTACGATACGAAGCCATCACTCTACCAATTACGCCAGCACAGGCCATACCAATTCAATTTTTTTTGGCCATATGACCTGTTAGTTTTTTTCGTTTAAAATATATAATATCACCTACTTTGTAACGGTTTATTAATGTGATCTTCGTGGCGTCGCGCGTTGGGAGGTGGGAGTCGCTGGAGAGGACAGGGTAGCAGGTTCGAGACGTGGTAAGATAACCAAGGTAAGAGTATATTAGTTCTTAACGTAGGTAAGTATTAGGTTAAGGTAGTGTAAGGTTATGGTAAGGTAGTGTAAAGTAAAATAGGAGATGGTAGGGTAAATATGGTAAGAATATGAATGTAATTAATGTAATAATTAAGCGAATAAAAATTAAGATATATTAATAATAATGAAGATATTCTTGTGCAAAAGAAGAAAATAACACAAGACTGACAACTTGAATTTTTTTTTACAAGTTATAGTTAAGTAATTTTTTTTATAAGTATAGATAAGTAAAACTGACCAATATTCAAAGTATATTAATTAAAAAATGAACTAATTAAGACTTTAAATAATAGTATAGATTAAAGTGATTGAATAATGTTAATATTTTTGACATGTTTGAAATGAGTGAAAAACCATAGATTAGTCTATTCAAAATGACCAAAGTTATAACTACATTAACAATTTTGATCATGATAGAATTAGATTACAAAAATTATATTATATGAAATTTATTCAAAATATTAAATCCTCGTCGAAGAACGAATTAATGAGTATATTAATGCTTATGATAACATTAGCTTATCAGTTTATAATACCTGTACCTGTATCTTATATTTCTAATATATATCACTGAAAATGGTGTGAAATGAAACACTCCAAATAAAGTTTAGTTTTATTCAAAACTCTTAATGTATTACAATATTTAATAATTCAATTATATTAATTTATTGCAATAATGAAAATGACTAAAACACCTTAACATTTGTCTAAAGGTATAATATATGTATTATAGTATATATATATAATAAATAATACAAATAAATTTCTTTGATGTATCGCCCTCGAGAACTTACTCATATATGTCAACATCAAAATTATGTGTTATTATATATATATATATATATATATATATATATATATATAGATATAGATATAGATATAGATATAGATATATATATATATAGATATAGATATAGATATAGATATAGATATATATAATAGCACAGTATGATATTAAATTAAGTGATATTTATAGCTATGAAAAGTACATCATTTGAAGGAGTAATAGAAAACACAATATTTAATTCAGAGAAGTCACCGGTCCGACACATTAAATGTTTAAGGCACTCCAACAACACAAGGGCTAAGTGTCTAGTTTACGCTTTACTCTTAACGTATTACAATATTTAATAATTCAATTATATTAATTTATTGCAATAATGAAAATGACTAAAACACATTAACATTTGTTTAAAAGTATAATATATGTATTATAGTATATATATATAATAAATAATACAAATAAATTTCTTTGATGTATCGCCCTCGAGAACTTACTCATATATGTCAACATCAAAATTATGTGTTATTATATATATATATATATATATATATATATAATAGCACAGTATGATATTAAATTAAGTGATATTTATAGCTATGAAAAGTACATCATTTAAAGGAGTAATAGAAAACACAATATTTAATTCAGAGAAGTTACCGGTCCGACACATTAAATGTTTAAGGCACTCCAACAACACAAGGGCTAAGTGTCTAGTTTACGCTTTACAGTCAATTTAAACATGCACATTTTAACACAATTTTTTCTACATTTTTCAGTCAATTCAATATTATTAAGAGAGCCAAGTGTATAGTTATACAAGTCAAAGCAATTACGCAGACTTTGACCGAGACAAAGCAAAAGTATGGGTCGTCCAAGATTTCAAGACACCCAAACAGTAAACAAACTGTTTTACACAATTGTCTACACTAAAAACTGCACTCAATAAGTATCCCTATTAACACAAGAATTTTTTAAAACTCGGATATGTTTAAATATTTTTGTAATTTACATTACAGCATAATGTAATTTGGCCGTAAAGTGGCTGATAATTAAATTAAAACAATAAATTAAATAAAATACAATATATTTATTCATTATTTCATCAACATCCATGCACTTAACTATTCAATATATCACAGTAGACACCTTCTCTGACGACAAGACGGAGATAGTTACTTGGGACAGCATAATTTGAAGATCGAGCGATTATTTTCGCTGGAGAACAAGTCTCGAGTAATTCCAGAGTTGAAGACTACTTGGCTTGAAGTTGTTTATCCTATGAAGAAAAACAATGAATTAGTAACAACTCTCATATAATACACTATAAAAAATAAATCACCTGATGATAATCAGCACCGTCTTTGAAGCAACATAAGTAAGACCTTTATAATAGAACTCAGCAAGTGGTTTTTATAATAACTGATTAAGTTAGTGAGGTTAGTCGTGTTAGTGAGTTAATAAGATTTAAGTTAATCATGCATAATTATAGGCAGTCATTAAAAAGAACCACTTGCGAATCATTTACATGGATGAGCATTCCAAACTCATGATGTTTTGAGCATCAGGGCAGTGATAGTTGAATTGAGAAAATCTGCAAAAAAGAAACATTTTATTGAAGTTTGTATTCATACTGGTTATGAATAGTCACATACTTGATTAAATGTTCCTGGTGAAGGAGTCTGTGTGCAGAGCAGCAGAAATTGAGAGGACCTGAGAAAAAAAAGAAATGTTTTAGCAATGTTTGCATTTATACTGGTTATGGATAAACACATACCTGATTAAATGTTCCTGGTGAAGGAGTTAGTGTGCAGAGCAGCAGAAGTTAAGAGGACCTGAGAAAAAAAAGAAATGTTTTAGCAATGTTTGCATTTATACTGGTTATGGATAAACACATACCTGATTAAATGTTCCTGGTGAAGGAGTCTGTGTGCAGAGCAGCAGAAGTTGAAAGGACCTGAGAAAAAAAAAGAAATTTTAGCAATGTTTGCATTTATACTGGTTATGGATAAACACATGCCTGATTAAATGTTCCTGGTGAAGGAGTTAGTGTGTGCAGAGCAGCAGAAGTTGAAAGGACATTTTAGCAATGTTTGCATGTATACTGGTTATGGATAAACATACACCTAATTAAATGTTTCTAGAGAGATTTCTAGTAAAGTAGTCGGAATGAATATTCTTGCATTTTTGAATTGGCAGTTGAACCAGGATCTGGAATAAAAAAAATATTAGAAATGTAAACATTGATGTTGTATAGAGATTTCATAAAAGTGTTTATGCGTTACCAAACAATCCATTGTGATGGGCTCTGTGTAGAGTTTGAATTTTCAATCTTGAATGAAATAAATTTTATAAAAAAATGAAATAAAATAAAAAATTAACAGCATATGAAAATAGATAAGCTAAATATTGATTTTTAGACACTTAATTGAACTTTCTTCTTAGTCCCCTTCAACGAACATTTATTCATAAGTCTAAGAAGTTCTTGTGGTCTTAAAAATGTCATTGTTTGATAAATTTCTAAGTTATTCATACTTTGAATGCTTTCCAAATATTTTGATCGTATTATTCCAGTTGACTGTTGTGTAATAATCACAGTGTCCGATCAAATATGCATAAAAAAACAAATTATGAAGTTACAAATCAGTAGATCTAGTAAAGAATAAATTAAGTATAAAATAAAATAAATGTAAACTGAATTTTCACTCGATATTACTTGGCTATTCGATACTTAACAATTTGTTTGATATGTTACGTTGCGGTTTACATGTGATTTTATCTTGATGCTCAGAAATATAGTTCTGGGAATTTACCAGCAGTTTAATAATTGCACTTGGTTTTATATGAAATGCATTAACATGAATTCACAATAATAAAAATTGAAATGTAATGTAATACTTGAAATCCACATTGCATAGACTTATAAGATTCAAACGACCACATTATATTTTAGTAGTAGTAGAATGGATTAGTGTTTGTTAGTATTTGTTAGTATTATTAGATACTAGAACTAAGAATGCAAATCATGCAAATGATCATTTGATTCATGAAAGCCAATGCTTTAATGATTTCGTAAATTTGTAAAAGATAAAGCAAAAACTGAAAGTATCAATTAATGAATATCTTGAGTAAATTCACAGTTCGATAAATACATTCATACCTAATGCAATTCCAATAAAACCACAATTAGTGCATTACAGTGACATGAAAATTGAATGACTCTGCACAAAATGCCACAAATTCAAACGTACCTGCACCTGTAAAATACAAAAGTTTTTATTATATTATGATGAACATCTCATTAGGTATATTATTAAATAATGTTGATACGTCACCAAAGCTGCCTTCGTGAACTATGCAGTTGCTCCAGAGAAGCACAAAATAGTCATTATCTGCATCTTCATTTTCAATCAAATTCTAAGAACTATTCTGTGTAATTTCCTTCTAGTAAATGAATAAAATAGTGTATGAGCACAAAGTCGTTCTTTAAAATTCTTGATAACATGAAGATTGTGCTCCAACATATGCAATTCTTCTGATCTATAAATTGAAATGAGTTAGCACATAGTAATGATTTAAATAACACTTAAAATTAAACTATACATACAACTCACAAACAGATTAAGTCTCTCGATAAAAATGTTGTTTTATTTAACAATAGACATTATAAAATGGAATATTTACGGTGTGCGTCTATGGCACTAATTCGACTTGAGCAAGCTATATACATAATTTGTTTGACGTATGACGTAACACTGTCGAACATAAAATGAAATCCGAGCGAATCCGTAAAGCGAAATCTATTTAGCACAATTACAACATACCAAATTATCTTCCAGGCAGCAATTGGCAAGGGGGCCTCTGTATTCCACGATGTTTCTTTGATCAACTCCGATAAGAAAATGATTTTATGCCATGACATTCCACAGACTGGCATAAACCATAGATGTGCAAAAAGAACTTGTAGATATGCGACTACAGAGCGTGCGAGTTCGTGCGGTTGAATTTGGAGCTGGATGTACTCGAGCGCCTCTTTGTTTGGAAATCCAACCAAGATTTGTTTGAATCTTTAATTTTAACAACAATAAAACTGTTATAATTTAAATAAAATAACATCTCTTCATATCTATATTGATGCTCGATTTTTTTAAAGTAAGTTGTCTATTAATTTACACTGCAAGTATTTCAAAAGTTGTTAAAAACTTATATAACTAAAAAATTTTTTTGGTTTTGAAGTGATATCTAAAGAATGAAAATACATTTTTAAATATACTGAGATCCTCGACCATATCATTGAGGTCAGCACAGAATCTGCCTGAAAACGCAAAAAGTTGTCAGAAAATTCCCATAAAAAACGTGATATTTACAAAAAGTCGATTTTCTGCTCTCCTGAGCAAAAAATGGACAAAATTGGAGCGAACGGGAGGCCTGACAAATGTGATTGATTCTCACTTGAACTGACATTCTTCAAAAAAAAAATCACAGTCTTTAAATATATATTAAATTTACATGCTCTAATTATTAGATACCTTTAATTTCCAAGATGTAATTTGCCATTGGATATTTGCCATACTATCAGATGATGTCAGGGCTGTATTTTCCGAGGGTTCTAATATTATTATTAGTATGTTCTTCGCATTTTTGATAGAAGTTCTCTGTCATTGAGTGTAACAAAATGGCTTATAGTTTGTAAGACTATATATTAATAAGCGGTCATAGGCTGTTAGGCCGATGTTTCGTAGTCGAGCTCGCAGTATTAACAACTGTGCGCCATATGCCATCTCGATATGTTTGATACTACAAAGACCATGGTTTGTCACTCGATTCAAAACGTGTCAAAAACATTTTTCCTTTCAATATTTCATAATATCTAATTGTCCATTGATTTATGTTTTTGTTTTATTTACATAATTTATTTGATTATTTATTTACTTGAGAAAACGTGACATAAATTTTGAAAATTGTATTTAATTAAACAATTATGAATACTGTATATCTGTATTTTGAATATGTTATGTACAATTAAGTTTAATTATATAACACTATCATTTCAATACCTTAAATCTAGCTCTAGACTTAACCAAAAATACAATTTTAAATTTCATTTTTCAAACAATAGTGTTTTATAATAAATTAATTTTCAAACACATTTTCAAATAATTGTTACTTTTGATTTAAAATGAGTATTTTGGAAAAGTTAATAGTTTCATTTATTTATTATATAACCATTATAATAATTCTTACATTTTTCACTCTTTATAACTTACATACTGCTATGCAACAAGTTTTCAATAACAATTATAATTAACTTCGAGTTTTACAAAGATTAAATATTTCAACACATTAGACAATTATGTCACTGACCTTATGTATTTACAAATATTAGAATAGCGCTTTCGTGCTTTTTATATTAGATTTCGATATAAGAATTGGATACACTTGTTAAAAATATACCGATTCTATATACAAACATATCCAAGATAATAAAGTTAACTTAATATTTCGTTCAAGAATATTAATTTCAGAGTATAATTTCTAATAAAATTTGGTCACTTTAACATTGGCAACTTCTTATAAAATTAAAATTATTTTTAAAACCTATCTCGCTTCTCAGCATCTTGAAAGTGACTAAGTTCATATAAAACAAATAATTCTATCCAATTTCTCTAGTTACTATTGAAGAACATAATTTTATTACCTCAATATTTTCAATACATTAGTATTTTTATTAGATTTATATACAATGAATCCGCAATTAATTGCAAGTTTTACAAGGTTTGATATAGATAGAAATATTACAGAATTAACTATTTATTACTATAGTTCTCATTGCTCTTGTATATGTTATATTTTTATGGCAAACAAGAAATATATGTAAATTGCAAAATTAAAAAAAATTGCATACTAATACTGAAATCGTTAATAATAAAATGATGAATAATAATAAACAAAGATCTCAGAGTCCAGTCCAAATGCATTACAAGTTTTCGTTTATGCAGTTAAAAAATATTGATTAATGCATTCCAAGGCATGAAAAAAGAATAGCAGTATTAATTTTTTTTATTAAAAACAGCAAAACAAATAAGACAAGATAAATTCCAATTTCTACAATAAACTTTTCTTTATCATACTTTTATAGAAAGTTGCATACAAATGCTTTACTATTCAAAAGTTTTTGCAAATAAAACTCCAAACTGTTAATTTAGGGATTTAAAAAATTTAGAACTTATAATCTCACCATTTCCAAATGAAAGCTACCTTAATGAAAGATTTATATAAGATTTTTTGTTAAAGGGAATTCAAAGATGTAAAATGCTATTCTTCAAACTCACCCTTAATGATAATAGCAATTTAATGTGTTGGATGCCTCAAAATATATTAATTCTTCTGTGATCTGGGTTCACAGTACTATTATAAAATAAAAAAAAATCAAACTACAAGCAAAAAAGAGTCTAATGCCACCTTTAACCGTAAAATGTATGAAATTAACACTAATTTTATATTATTATAATTAAAAATAAATTATACTCATATTGTAAATAAACAAATTATTGAAGATAGCATAATATGCATAAACTTCATCAATTACAAATAACAAGCCTAAATGATTTTTCCTCTGTTAATATTTAATTGCAGGACATTCCAAAGCAAACCTAGGAATTTAGAAGTATTTGATATATAAATGATGAAATACTCGAAAGAATCATAGCCAAAAATCAAATTACAAAAAATAACAAGTTTTAGTGCATTTAAACAGAGATAGTGAAATATTTGAATGTAGTAAATTTTGAATTGATTATTTGAATTAATCCTCACAAATGTATTTAGGCTTGCGATGCTTCAGTTAAAAGTTTAAAAACCAGTCAATAAATAAAATTTAGAAGTCGCAAAGTTAAAAAAAGACTCAAAGGTCATTATTATTACAACAATAAACAAGCAACACAATTAAAATATAATCAATAAAAAGTTTTTACATTTAAGGTACTGAGCCATTAGATTTGTGAGAATTTCGTTTCGATGGAACAGTCCATGAAGTGTAGGGCCCTTTAGGCATCAGACCTTGTCACAGTGCTTCTCTAGATGGCACCCAAATGTTAGGACCTGCTTGGGAAGAAATTACTTCCTTCACTTTCAAGTAGATGTCTTCCGGTGTATCCCCTTGAATAATAGCTGTGGAAATGAACAATATATACTTAAATACAACTTGATTTTCTTGTAACGTGGAGGCTTTTAATATACAGTAGAAGTGCCATATCTTGCTTCCTTCATGCGCGTTTTCGCTATTTGTGGCAAAAAAGCGACATTATTTCTATATTCGCGTCTAAAAATTTCGTTATTCGCGGATTCCAATATGTATCGAAACCAGAATCTTTTGTAAATGCCGTCACTTTGAACTAATAAAGAAATATTTGACATAAGCCGCCTCCGTTGCCTTCGCCGTCTTCGCCATTATCGGTGTCTTTGAAATCGATCTTTCATCCTTTAGCAATAAATAGAAAATTCGGGACATTTTTTGGTTTTTGTCAAATAACTCACAAATCTTAAAAGCACCGTTTTCAGTTAGATAGGGAGAAACTACATACAATTTACTACAATTCCATTCCAACAATTATATACACTCCGATATAAAAGTTTGGAATAAAACGACTTTGAATTCGATCTTTCATTCTTTAGCAATAAATAGAAGATTCGGGACATTTTTTTGGTTTTTCTCAAATAGCTCACAAATGTTATATGAAAGCACCCTGTCTCCGTTAGATAGGGAGAAACTAGATAAAATTTACTACAATTCTATGCCAACAGAATAAAACGACTTTGAATTCGATCTTTCTTTCTTTAGTAATAAATAGAAAATTCGGTACATTTCTTTTGGTTCTTGTCAAATAACTAACAAATGTTATATAAAATCGGTTCAGTCATTTTCGAGAAAACGTTGACATAAGGTCAATTTTGAACTCAAGTCATGAAAAAGATACTCCTTTATTCTTCAAACTTTGATCAATTTCCAAAAATAAACGATTTGTCGTAGGGCGGTAATAAATATATGATCTCTATCGTCAAAAAAAGTTTCATAAAAATTGTCGAAATTTTTTTTAACAATCAATTATGAAGAAACAGCGAAGCCGATCTTTACTAAAAACTAATCAGTACAATTCCCAAAATATATCTTTCAAAAAAATTTTGAATGATTAAAATCGATTGAGCGATTTTATGAAAAACCGTGGACAAAATTTCGTTCACAGAAAATTCTAAAAACAATAAATTATTTGAAATTAATTGTTCACTTGTCTGCTAATTAAAATTTCTGCACCAAAAAAGGCTTAGCCGACCCTCTTGCAAAACTAAATACAGCGAGTTCTTATGGAGTTACTTCGAATAGATTCTTGAAATTTTGTTGAAACTCTGGTCAGCCACTTTTGAGAAAACGACGACAAAAAATAGAAAAATCGGTTCACATGCAAACACTCGACTTGAAAACATAACATAAGCATAGATTTTTTTGCAAAAACATATTTTTTCTTAGAAAAGTTAATAATGTATTTTTATTAACTATCTGCACAACACCAATAAACATCATTTCATATGATTCTTTGCGAAAACATAACAAATAAATAAATTCACCTGTAAAGTACTCTCCAAATTCTTGTTCCATCTTTAGAGCACGTTCGTAAGTTTTCTTAGACTGCTCTTCAGTCATTCGTTTATTCATTTCCCTAAACAAAAATGTTCAATAAGTAAATAAGTAAATAGAAATAAAAGATCGATATAAAGCAATCATTCATCCATCAGACAACAAGGACTAAACTTTTGAGAAATTATTTCAAAAATTTACATTTCATTATTAATTTATATATTGTTAAATTTCACATTATAATTATACGGGGCCGATTCTGCCATAAAATGGACCGATGTTATGGCAATGCTGTCACGCTGCGTTTTCTCATATAAAATTGTACTTAAAACAGTCAAAATGCAATGAGATTGTTGTGCAGTCAGGCGTTTTAGATAGAATTCCTAACCTATGAAACGCAAAAACGCCAAAAAAGGAATGTTATCATAACTGCATTTCATGTGTAAAACGCGTGATCTCACAGAAAATACATAGCATTTGCAGAGTACCATATAAATATTCCATATAAATGGTACATTTTTGTACTATTTTATATGGAAAACGCAGTGTAACATAGCCTTGCTATAACATTAGTCTATTTTACGGCAGAATCGGCCCCTACATTTATAAAGAAGTAGGTATATTTTTAATCATATTTTTTTTTTAATCAAAATAATAATAATTACATATTATATTTTTATTTATATGCTGACTTATACCATATTCAATCAATGCATAAAAAAGTTAATGCTAAAATATTATTTTATATACAGTTGTAAAGAAGAATCACTAACATCGAAAAGTAATATTAATTTTTTTGTTAATTATTAACTAACCCTGAGTAAGTCAATGAAATAAGATAAATAATAGCTATTTATTATTACTTACATAATAGATTCAATTGATTTTGGTTTGATGAATATTGCAATGGGATAAAGTTGTGCGACTTGAAGTCGTTTTATAGCATTAGCGCTCACATCTAAAATGCAATGTTTACCCTGAAAATAATTCATAAAAATGTTAGTGATCATAAGAAAATTGTTAGTGATACCAAAACTGTAATTAATAAGAAAAGTTATCTTAATAAGTTTACCTACGACTCAAAAGTTATCTATATATCAAATTTTAGACACTATGTGTAGTATATTTCTAACTGCTAAATAAAGTATGAACAAAAAAAATATTTTTGGCACATGAACTTTCTCTATTAGACTAAAATTGTCAAGTTCGGGAAATAAATGCTAAAAATGAAGATGGAAATATTCACGAAGATTCAACTACAAATGGTTACATCTCCTTGGTATTTCCTATTTTGAGTAAAAGCTTTGGAATACTGTATTCATCTATTTATCAGAAAAATCTATAAAACGCTCTCTATTAAACAGCTACGAGCAAGGGATTTTACACTTGAGCGCAAAATCCTGCAAATTACAACTACGAACAAGCTAAAGAAATAACATTTAAAATGAATATTTATAACTCGTTCTGAATATTTTATTCATAAGGAACATTTCAGAAAAATTCAAAAATATACGTTGACATTATAGATCACGTTTAAATTATTTCGGTTTCACAAAGCACTGTTAACTCATGTACATAATTTATAAATAAAAAAGGAAATTTAGGCGGGGTACTACTTAACCACTCCACTGTGGCACTCATTCAACTGTGCGCTACGCTTATATGCGACTTATAAATATTCATTTTATTCTGGCATAAGTAGTCTAAAAATATTCTTAATATGTTGAAAGATATGATTTTAATACGCATTTCGAGTATACTCGAAAATACACAAGATTTAGTCTGGTTACAAACAACCTTAATCTATTTGAATGTCGGTACTTCCCTACATTTTCACTTGTCGGTAATAAAAAATGTGGTATTATTTAGGACGATGTGAGCATAAATTAGTACAAGAATATTAAAAGATGGAATAGATAAATTATTTATTACTATTGTTATAATTTTAAGTAGCTCACCTTTTCTGCAACTTGACGAACAGAAGCTACAGAAGTTCCATATAAATTATCATTGTACTGTCCTGCTTCAATAAACAAATGATTTTGAATATCACGTTCCATTTGTTCGCGGGATGCCACGAAGTGATAATCTCGACCATCCACTTCATAGCCTCTCTTCGGTCTTGTAGTATCTAAAAAGAATAGAATAAAATTCTGATATAACCTAATATTTGAAGAATAGTTTTCCAAACTTGTTTGTATCGTGGACCCTTGGCGCATTGCTATAGACTGTACTAAAGTTTTGTGTATTTAAATGTTTACTTTAAAGTAACAATACGTGTTATGTTATGTTTCAACATAATTGAATTAATAATGACAAAATGAAGTAAGTAAATGTTTAATTTAATTTTTAAAATATCTACTATCTATTATTTCTATCATTGTAGTTTTCTAATGTTTTCTATATAATATTTAACAATTACTTACGAGGTACGCAGCTGCCGAATTTTTCGGGAAATTCGGAAATCAAATCATCATTGACGCGATCCTTGAGCGGTCCTAATATTATGACTGGTCTGGTGTAATTTATAGTCAATTGTTGCACAGCTTCATAAGAAAGAACGTTTTCTTCGCCTGAATCATAAGAGAGAGTTAATAATTTTCTAATTAGTTGCCATTTTTAATCTATAAGTCTTAGAAATTTAAAACTTCACTAATACTTATAAGCAAAAATAAGGAAAGACTTTATTTAAAAATAATTTTCGACATAAAAATTAGATTTTTTTTTTTTTTTTATAAAAGTCAGTTATAAAAAAATAGTATTCTTTGATAAAATTATAATGACGTCATAAACTACTTGATTAGCCAAACAATACAAAATTAATTTATATAGGTATATTAATTATATTTATTTAAATGCTATTATCAAATGAAAGTATAAATCCTTGTCTTTACTTTGGTTAAAAAAGTGATGTAAGTGTATAAAGTCGCCTGTTGCATTGTACAATAAAACGTACATTATGTTTTAATTATAATTGACAAATTACAGTATTAAATATTATCTAATGCTATGAATAAATAAAATTAGTCATATTTAACAAACATGCGCAATACTTAATTACAAGCATTCACTCACATTTAGAATCTTAGGGATTGAATTAGATTATCAAATGTGCATTGGTAACAACAATAATACAAAAGCTATTTTATAAAATACCAATTTTTAACAAGATCCAAAAAAAAAACAATTAGATCTTTTCATATCATATATAACGAGCAACCCTCAAAAGACATACCATAAATCTACATTTAGAATTTAGATGCCACAATACTAGTATAAAATTATGTACTAAATTTTGAAACTTCAAAAATATAGAATAAACTATTTGAATGTTATTTCATTCTTCGTTAAAATAAAAATCGATAATAATAAGTATTTATGGCAAACTGAATCCTTGGACCGTGCGTGTCTGGACAATATTAATATACAGGGAACTACCAATAGTGATTCAAAAGATCTGCACAATAGACTAGAATTGATTTTGTGGAAAGAATGTTAAACTAACGACCATTTACACAATACTATCAATTTTCGTTAGTGTTCGTGGTAACGTAATGTAAATCTATCTAAATCAATATTTACCGGTGACGACTAACATACTAGTGCCGGATAATATTAAAAAGTTATTAATTGAGAATGAAAAATACTTAACATACGGAAAATGCTAAAAAATATTTAAATCCGCAGGAATTTAGTTATGGACCGCGCTTTTCATGTAACAAACACGAAATTTTACTAAAATATACTACTTGTAAGTAGTAGGAAGTAGTCTGGCCAATACGCCAAAACCTCAATGTTATTCGGCTATCTAATATTATCTAATACTCCGATTATTATTTTTATTTTGTAGAGAAATCCAATAAATATAAAAAAATCTTCAACTTGAATACTGAATTAAACAAAGATGAATATGCTTTATATGTTATTTTTGGCAGGTGAGAGTCAAGTTTTAAATTCAATTAAAAGCGCCATCCAAGAGTATGTGCCTCTAAAATATATTAGTTTAAAGTTAAATAGATAATTAAAATTTGCAGAATACAAGTACATGGCTATAAAATATTGGAATAGCAAATTTTATCAGAAAGCCTAATAACTGCTACAGAATATGAAAACTGAAATATCTAAATATGAATTTATAGAAGAGTTCTGCAGCATATAACAACAAAACAAATTAAGGAAATAATTCATTTCATGCAAACTAAATACAACATCAGTTTCAAATTGAAACTTTCATATAACAATTGACAGCAAGTATTCCTAATTACTGTATATTCACGTGAAATTTTGTATTTACATGAATATCTATATTCATCGCAATGTTTTAAAAGCGCGATGATACTGCAGCACCCTTTTTTCCAATCAGTTGCGGTCAAAATAACAGAAATAAAAACTTAAAAACAATATCCGGCACTGTTTACAGATATTAAAAACTGTACGTGTTTACAATATGAATAAAATTTTTGTTTCTACTTAATAACTAAATCGAACACTATTAAGATGATTCATACCGGCGACACAGAATAGCAAAACCTAACAAGATAAGATTCAAATTTTGTGTTGAATCAATCCTAAAGTACCATATTTTATCTCTAGTGACGGTTGAAAACTTATATATAAAATGAAAACAGATATGTCAAAAAAGGTGTAATGTTGAAAAATGCAATATCATCATGACTTTAACCAGTTAACTGAGGCGGCTTCTTGAACGGTATGCACAGATTAAAATATAGAATTAAATAGATGCATTTATTTACAAAATTGTAAGATTTACTAAATTCTTTTTCTTTTAACATAAAGATATAAACTATAATTTATTACATATAAAGTATAAATTCAAGATTATTCTATAAAGTGATACGAACTTCCTAGAATATTACAGGCCTACGAAAAGTAGTTTAATGTAAAATCTTTAGTTATACATATTCTGTGTTTAGTATTGCACACTGTGGACGTGCACTCTTAAATAAAATATATTTTTATTAAATTAAATTAATAATATGTACATACTATACGTTTGTTTAAAGCATATGAATTGCTTCGGTCAGTTTTTTGGTGAAATTTTCAAAAAGAAAAGATGAATTTGAATAGCTAAATTTTAATTCTTCTTGATGAAGTCGATTATTTGCACATATCAGAACGATCTTGAAACTGGCCTTGAAGTAAAAAGCCACTCAGAACTACTTATTTTACCGGAATATTCTGAACATATTGAAATTCAAGATTTTATTTTTTTCAAAAATCACAATTTAAATATCCAACATTACTTCATGACGATTACTATAGGTGCTCGTCAATCACAGTTAACTGGGTAAAGTATTCTCGAGTTTGCGATAACTTTCATTTGAACAGTTTTTTTTATCAAATCTATATATAGTTATAGTTTTACAATAATAATAATATTTTCGGTTAAATATTCAAAATTTGAATCTGCACTTGTCGCCATATGGTAGTGTCGCCGTATGAACGTATCCTTACGAAAACTAAAAATTCTCAGACAAGACACAGTGAGTTTACTATATTTTTCAATACGACAAATAATGAAAAAAAAAAAGATGTTTTAAATATTTAAGAGCACTAATATAATATGCATTGCGATGAAAAATAAACTGGTGACTAATCTCGAATCAACAATATCGAGAGGAAATAAAAATAAAAATTTAAAATTAGTTGATACAAAATCAAGTGCGGTTCGGTCCTAGCGACAAGAGACAACGATCTTTTTAGCCGGACTTACTGTCACTGCTTTCCGTGTTTTCGAGATAAATCAACTCGATCTGATGCATATCGGGAAGCTCTATGCGATACACGATCTCCCCGGTGCCTGGGGAGATCAAGTGCGTCAGAAGGAGAGATAAAAGATAAAAAGATAAAAGATAAAATGTGAAAAAGATAAAGGAAAACTAAAAGGAAACGACTCACACGCCGTTTGTGACATCAACATACGGACGGCATTTCGTGCGCAGCAAGATATACTTGATATATAAAGCATTTCAAGAATACAAAGTTCTTTGAGAAACTGAATATAATATAAATACACAATGAAATTTATATATATATAGAGAGAGAGAGAGAGTAGGGCGGGGTCCAAAGGGCCAATCTGACTTTGAGCAATTTATTACGAAAATAAAATCAATTAACGAAATGGTTTTGTGAAAATACTCTAGTCCTAAATAATGATAAGACCCAAATCATATCTTTTTGTACAAAAAATCGTTATCCCATAATATTAACTTCTTCACCATCATAAGTCAGCATAATGATTTTTCGCAGTATCAAAGTTTCTTGGTATTCACATTAATATAATTTTAAAGTGGTCCGCAAACTTAGACAGTAAAAAAATTCATGCTTCACTAGTTAAACTTTTTAAAGAATTAGCTTTTTATGACATTTCTGAATTTTCTCAATTTGATTTCAATAACTATTTTCTTGCATAATCGTTATCCTTTATCTATTAGTCTGAACAATTGATCGCCTGTACAACCATGTTTTTTTTATTGCTATTTTTGTTAATTAAATTTTTTACGGTTTTAAATGAGTATAACTTTCAACTTTTTGCAAGAATTTGAGCTTGACTCGTGGTCCAATAGACTTTAATATGATAAACTTGATGATGAACATTGTATTTAATGTTCGAATGCTTTTTTTCAGCTCTTTTTTTTCAGAAGTGTAATTCTATGATTATTATAAAATTACTGTCCTTTTAATAAAATATTAATAAGCTTGACAAGAGCCTGAAATATTATCTATTATTATTGATTACCTTGCTTATGAAAAATGAATAAATAAATTAATTACATCACTACAAATACCACATATCAAACAACAACTATCTGAATATGTTCATCATTGTAGAAATATGTTATTTGCCATTTTTCAAAGAAGCTTTCAATGGTCATTTATACCCATATACGGGGTACTACTTTCTAACTAAAAATATAGTTTTGTTATAAATTTGCAATCCTGGCTGCTTATCTCCTAAATAATCTACGCTTTGCATGTTTTTGAGAGAATGGTGGAACTACACAATTTTTCAGCACTGACAGCACTAATGTTAAAATGCCAACTTTTGGAGGCAGTATTTTCCCCATCATCATCGAAAATTTATTGCTGTTTCACCGTGCTATAATTGCTGTTAGCAAACAGACTACCCAATTATTAACTTCCGAAGCAAAAGTTTTTCACGAGAAAATCCGATTTGCAAGATTTTTTGTCAGTGTTTTCGTATAAATTCTCAACCTATTTTAAAGACTTTATTCAAAAGATATCATTTGGAATTGTGCCGATTAGCTTTTGGCAAAGCGTTGTTTATCGTAACTGATTGCCATTGTTTTTTTGACGATTTTAATAAAACCTTGTATAATAATATAGTTAATTTGAACCATTTGTCAAAAATAACAAACATGTTTGAAAAACTTGCTCAAATTGCATAACCAACCTTAGTTTCTCACATTATAAGCTCTATAGGAACTCGGTTGTTACTATTTCTAATAATATTAAAAATAAAATATCTACAAGAACCTGAATGATCGTTTACAGTTTTAAAACTTAATAAGAAACACTTTAAAATACGCACGAAATGCCGTAATTGATGTCCAGCTAAATGAACCGAATAAATGATTTGATAAATAATTATTTAAAAAAAGCTACTATAACATTGCTGACTCGATAGATATGCATGTATATAATCGTTACAAATTGAATTATATATTTTAAATTTCATATAATATCGATAATTTTTTGTAGTGTTGCATTTATAGTTTTAGATTTGCGCACACACAAATTTGCGATGCAATTAAATTCATACATGCACGATTAGAATTTAGCAGCAAAATATGAAAATATATAGTTATTTTACACATTTTTTGAACAGAAACCGAACAGACGGTTTCTTACAGTCAAAATTTTAAGAAATATGCACTAACAGCATATTTACGAAGCTGAAGTTGAATTTAAAAATAATCATTTTTACTAGTAATGCAAAGCCAACAATAAACTTTCAGATGAGACATATTCAAAATATCCAATGTTTTAAATTTGTAATTCACAATTTATTGATTCTTTTTAAAAACATTTGTAAATTCAAATTCAGCGGATTAATGTATAAATAGTGCAGAAACTAAAACAATATGAATATTTCAAAGTTCGATCATTAAATGTTAACATTTGTAATTTGAAAAATTGACTATTTTTAAGTTTGAAAATATTTGTATAATAAATTTTGCATACGATATATTAGCCAACTGAATAAACTATTTCTTCATCGCCTACCTCTAAGCAGTTATAAATCTAATATGATCCAATTCAATAATTTAATATTCATATGCAATACTTAAAAATGAGATCTTATTAAAAACACATTACATGTCATCCAAACTATTTTAACTAAATTTTAGCAGATATCACATTTCTTCCTGCGTGTACTATATTATACTAAATTATTACTAATCTAATTGGCATAATCTGTAAAAATATGTTTATATATCTAATATAAGCCTCATATTTCAAGCCTAACATAAATCATAAAGTTAGGAATATGTTTGAAAACGAACCACGACCGTCACTTAGTCAAACACAGCACCAAATAGTTGCAAAAATTCATAGCTCAATCGCTGTAGTAAATTCTAATGTAATAAATAAAATTTTTGATAGAAAAAATCATATTATGAATATCTTGTGAACTATTTATATGTCAAATCATATAAATTGGTAAAGTACTCAACCACATTCCTTGATTTCCAAGTACCAAAACAAGAAGAAGGAATAGTTTATAACCAATGTTCTAATCGATCAATTTATTATCTTTACATTTTTT